TTTCAGTGAAAGTGTTTCTGTATGATCTCAGTGTTGTTGACATTGGTACAAAGACATATGCACAGAAACAATATTCTACACTGTACATTTCTTCAAACAGACCTGTTTTTCCGGTCGAGGATTGACATCACTGTAAATCCCACAATTCTAATAAATTTCCCTAAAATGACAAGTTTCAGCTCACATCAGTCTGTGCACACCATTTTCTGTACATACTGTATCTGTTTCAGGTTTCCTAGAACACATCATTTAGTTCTCAATCGAAAATCACATTTTTTGATGTCATTTGTTTCTTTTTTGTTTTGTTTGTTTTTTGTGGGTATATTCTAATACATGCTGTTTCAGTCTAGATTCAAATACTGCAAAGGGGAGATCCTTCCCTCTTTTATACCTCTTTTCTGTTGTCAGTTTCCGTTTTGTTTTCTTTAATCATGGCAAAAATGAAAAATTGTAAATGGTGACATTATTTATACTGTAAATGGTTGTTTGCTTATATATTTATTGCATATCAAAAAGGATGCTTCAGTTGATAAGGGGCTACAAGGTATTTTAAAGTTGTAGTATGGTCACAGTTTGTGGACAGGGGAAGTGCAATCAGGGGTGCAGTTTAATACTCATGGTGCTAGACCCCTACTTGCCTCATTGCCCCATCATCAAACGGTGGATTTTGATGTTTGGACGCAACTCCAACCCATCATTTGGTGCTTAGAAAACCCCATTTCAACACAGTTTACTGGTAACAGAAATGGAATGATGTCTTTGTACTGTATCTAAAAGATCAAGATGAGATTTTTTTTTTCACTTTTCTTTCCCATTGTATAAAACTCATAATCTTTGTGTGGCATTAGTGGTTTTTATGAGCATTAGCTGTAGTTGTAACTCTTGACACTTTTGCAGAGACTCTTAGGGATGTGACTTTTATTGGCGTTGAGGTTTCTGGTGTCTTGTCCTCATTAGTACTATTTGGAGGATGTGATGATGATGATGCTCTTCTATTTTTTTTCGTTGTTTTGTTTTATCTCCCTCTCTTCACTTGTTTGATTTATTGCTGCACTTATTGTTTTCCAGAAAAATTCAACTAGAAGAAAACCTGAGCCAGACCTGTCTTAAATCCCTCTGTGATTTTTCTGTGACATACTGTATTGTTGTTCGAGAAAATAAAATGTTTTGATAATCTATAGACACATCGTGTTTGTTTGTTKGTTGGTTGGATGAGCTGGTCATCATCAACAGGTAAGCTCTTCACGTAGGATCATTATCACTGAACATGACCATAATTGTATACACAGTATACATATAAAAAATGTAAGGAAATTTGTGTTAGACAAATTATTTCTTTAATGTGTAACAATGTTTCTTGGCTGATTTTATTGAGTTTGAAAGTCTGTACTTTCCCTTTTAAATGGTGCCATGTTTCTTACATTTGTAAGGATCATGGATTTGTGGGTTGTGCACATGAAACATTTTCTATATCTTCTCTGCCRAACAGCTTATTTTGCTGTTGTCCAAATCAGCTCAAAAACACCAGCTCAAGTCTGAATTCTGAAAGCTTAAATGCAGATCTTCACATATGTTCCTGACTCCGTGGTCCAAAGGAAGCTGAGCTCCTCCAAATAGCAACCCCTGCTGGRCCTGATCCAAACACCCAGATCCAGACAACATCTGAAAACCATTACTGAATCAGAGCTGATTTACCAAAAAGCTGAGGGTAGCTCCTCTCAGTTGTCTCAGATTACTTGATTACCTGGGTAGCAAATGTTAAGGCTGCCARACTCAAAAAAATAAAAAAGATAAAAAGAATCTGTCCTGATGATGGCCACTAGGTGGCTCTATGGGGCCAGTCTGCTTCATTAATTTACTTTTATTTTTCCTCCATTCCTGCTTCCATCACCTCAGTAGAAGCATGCTCTCTAATCAAATTAATGTCATTCAAGAGTAGCAATGAGTATATAGTCATTAATAAAGTGAACTAATAATCAAACTCAAGTCTTGATAAGGCCTTGCAATCAATTGCAATCACTAAAAATAGCTTCAATTACAAACTGGAATTCCAAAAGTCTTTATATCACAGCTCCTCTCCTTGTCTCAGAGGACATGAGACTGCCAGACMTGCAGACACATTTTGACATCACAAGGCGGACACAAAGTGAGGACGCAGCAGCGGATATCCCCGTTTCAAGGACAGGAAGAACTGCTCTTCCTCTACCAGCTGACTCAGGCACCAACATCCACATCCAAACAGCAAACACTGTGGCGCCCTGGTGGCAAATATTTCAACCGCCACACCACTGTCAGCAGTTATTTCAACAAAAAAATGTAATTAGCTTTTGCCAGACGTGTCCCTTTGTTACCCAGGAAGTTAACTTCTCGTGCTACTGCTATCTGAGCTAGCAACAACAACAAAAAAATGAAATAATTCCATTAAATTATAATCATTTTACATGGATATAAATAGTTGTTCAATACACTAACAAAAGCATAGAGGTTTATAAAAGTGTCCTCATTATTTTAATATAATTTGAATAATGAAGTTTATTTAAATTGACAAAATCCACCTTGGTATTACAGGGTTCTCAAGTTTTGATCTGAGCTTGGAGTGAGATTCTGAGCCACTGACAACTATTGCCAACTCCTCAGTAAGACACCTTGTTATTGGCTGTCCTAAAAGCGCAACATATATCACCACTTGATGTGCATATTTGGACATTTGCCAATATTTGTGTTGTAGGTAAGATGTATTTCAACATTGAAGAGAAAAAAGGGAGTAAAAACATTAAAAATGTTTAGAACTGCAAATACTTACTAACTTGAAATAATTAATGAAATGACTTAAACACTTGAAATCAGACCAATATATGATGCACAGACTGCATTTACACATTTTTAACCAACCAGGCTACTCAAAGCACTAAAGTACCCAATCCGTGTCCTCATTTGCACACATTTACATAACATTTGGTGAGTGTGCTCAGCAGTAAACTACGTTCCACTGTGATCATACAGGTAGAATATTATGCACAAGGTTTATAATTACACACAGCATTTGGTTTTGTGCATCTTTGACTGTTTTATTTCAAAGTTAGGCCCCCCGATACATTTCCTGCTTAGGGTCCCCAAACGTCCAGGACCAGCCCTGGCCCCCACATTATACAATTTAACCCAATAAATCCACATAACCTGTGTGCACAAACATTATTATTATCAGGACTGTATATGCCATAGTTTTAAAATATTAAAATTTTGAATACAAAATAATATGAAGCCAAAATCATTAAGTGTCACGCTTTAGGGGTTTCATCATTTTAAGCTTTGACCAATGACATTAATTTTGAAAATTACAACTTCACTACTTGAACTTTAAAAAAAAACATGATTGGTAATAATACAGACAAACTAGGCAAACAAAATCAATATGAACCTGTGGCTCGAGAGCTCAGCTGCGTTGAAGCACGTTACAGGCAAACGTTTCTTCTAAACTAACAACAGTAATTACTAAATTGCAAACAACACAATGTTTTTGTGCTACTCACCCTTTTACAGCTTGGAGCAAAAGAAACATCCTCGGTCCGATGAAAAGTTCGCTTTTTCGCAACTCTGAACAYGCTGCTGAGCCTGGCATCGGGGTTGCCAGATAAACACAAAAATACACTTTTAACGCTTTCTTTTCTGTGTACATTTTTACCAAACACAACACACATCTCATCTTACAACACTCTCTCTCAGCACATATAGTCTGGGTCAAAATCCAATAATTTTAAAGTGGCAATACAACAGTTCTCTATGTCCTATCTGGCAACTTCTCCAGCAGATTCCATGTAAATATGGATATTTTCTTGTTTATTCGCTCCAAAAAACCTTGAAAAAAACACTAACATTTCCAGAGGCTGTTCTCATGTAAACAGTAGGTAACAATATTGATTCACATTGATATATCAATTAAACGGTTAATTACTAAATCACAYCAAGGCAAAACTAAAACATATGCCTGATGTGGATCAATATTTTCATCTAACACATTTTATTTTGTTAAATCAGCATCATATTGCATAATATTGATCAAAGACATGTGAATTGAATTTAAATCTTATTATGACAGACTGATAGAAGCACCGCATCATCATCCAGAAACAGTGTAATTTGTGATAATCTGGTGATTTACGCCCCTATTGAACAGAAAACTAAACTCTATTTCTTCAAACTGAGGTTATTCAAAGAGAAATCTGCAGCTTGTGTGACAGCATTTTTTTTTTTTTTTTTACTTTTCCACAATAACCCACTACACACTGGCAGAACTATCCCTTTCATATTATGGAATATTTTCCATGATCTCTTGTATAATGAAAGTGCTCTCAATTTCTCTGGAGATTTTATGTGTTTTTATGTGGATAAAAGGAAACAACAATGTTCAAAGGGAGATAGTTTGTTTAAAAAAGAGCTCATTTTAAAATATCTATTTCACCCTTTGAATTGAGCCCCTCTGGTTTTGTGTCAGTCCCGCGACGGCCTCTTTTCCCCCACCAAATTAGTCAGCGTTCTCCCCCGTTCTCATTTCCTTCTGTTTTCTGAAACTGGAGATCTGTTTTTCATCACGGGGTCAGGGGCCAAACCTTTGTCGTTCCTGCAACAGAGACACATCTTAAACTACTTTGGCGCGCCTATTACTTTCTTTGTTCTCATTTCGGGGCTCTGTGTTGCTGCAGAGTCGTAGAGGTGAACATATTTAAGTATTAGTGTTCAGATTATTGAGGTTTTTTTGGCCTGAGCACAAGATTAAAAATCACCCCAGTTGTTAAACATCACACCCAGGGATTATCAGTGACAGAGGAGAGGAGAAAGCGCTCAGTGTGAGAATAGTGTTGTAGGTTGGCCTGCATGCTCTGACTCCCATAATCTACCCAAATAAACACTCTTCCTCCCTCCCACTGGTTCCAGGGGTTATCAGACAACCCCCACACCACCTCTGTGCAGCTCCCCCCTGCACCCACTCACCAACAGGAGCCTTGAACACAGCCCAGCCTGCTCTCACTACACTTCACGTTTGAGGCAACACAGGATGCAGGCTCCTCGACTCAAGCTGGAGTCACAGTGAGGAAACAGAATGTCAGGGAAGGAAGCGCTGAGCGGAGTGGAAAAGCCCGACTCCATCCAGGTTTAGACTCACACACGCTTGGCACATTTTACAGCAGTAGAAGCTTAACGTTAACCTGGAAAACAGCATTAAGAGCTTGACCTGAAGAGGAGACATAAACCAGGAGGACGTAAACCACCACTGGACTGCAGGGTATCAGCAGGGATACCCCACGGTGAGTACAACAGCATGTGATGCATCCAACCAATAAAATATATTGAATTATTTCTGTTAGTGGAGTTTAAAGGAGATACATTTAACCTGAAAACAATGATTGTACTTTTTTCTGTGCCTGGCTATAAGAATATCTGAAGAAAGCAGCACCAGCAGCTTTAAACACATTTATTGTGCAGTGAAATGCTTAAATTAGCTCAAATTATCACTTTTAATTCATTAAACAAAACAATCTCTGTACAGTTTCTTAAAGTCCATAAAAAAATATGAAAAGAAAAAGTCTTCTGTGTGATTAGCTCCACACATCTCTGACGATGAGTGGGAGTTTTTTTGGCTCATTGTTCTGGATGATGGTTATCCTGAAGTCTCGAATGAGGGGTGGGGTCTGMGGAGCCCATTTCCTCGCCTTTAGCAGTGAATTAGTTGACTTTCCACACATTTCATCACTTTAGTCGAGAATCCATTACTTAAAGGTGGAAACGTTTGACAGCTCTGATGGTAGTTTGTTGTGTTAAACTGATGGACTGGAGAAATCAGAGTGTGTTTGTGTGTGTGGTGGGGGGAGGGCTTAAACACATCTGAAAAATGGAGGCAACAATGAAGTGATGATTATCTTCAAAGGCAAAACGGGTGGCAAAATCAGATATACAATCTAATTAATTCATCTATTTTTTGTTTTTGAATATATTTACTCATTCAATGCAGTCAATATCTTACCTGTTGCAGATAACTATTTGAATGACCTCAGTTTGGAGAAACAGTTTGACTCTAACCCWATAGGCAAGTTAATGGGTAATCCGAGCCAGACCAAAGCGGACTGCTGTTATTTAAAAAAAAAGCTTTAATCAAAAGCAGTCTGGGGTACTTTTGACAGAAATGTCACCGTGTTTCAGGCAAATTGACAGTGTGACGCAAAACTGATAAAAGTGTTAGTGTTTGGGTAATAGCATTTAGCAGTTTTATCTTGGACCATGATGAAGAGSTAATGAGGACTCGGAGCAGATCCAGTCCCAAAGCAAACTTTTGCAAACCTCAAAACTGCTTCAGTCTTCAAAGTTTCAGAATGGTTTATGTAAACACAGTTATTTAAACCTTTGCATCGCCATTGGTTTGGTGTTACACTGTTAAGTGGTCAGAAAAAATATTAAATTGCTGCTGGAAGTGRCTCAAACTGTGGTTATGCAAGATGTAAGACTTCCACGGAGAGCTGCCTGTGTCTCCACGCTGTCTCCTCCATTAGACAAATTATTCCTTAATACCTGAGTCATATCAAATCAGAAAACTGTTTATGTTCTCAGATCAGGCAAAGGTTTTTTGTTTCCCTGCAGGATCAACATCAGAGACGATGAGTCTTTCACGGAGCACCACGCTCGAGAAGGCAGCGTCCGAGGCCCACTCTGAGGCCCGCTCCCCTTCCAGAGCGGGGTCAGGAGTTACGGTGCCGCCTCCTTACTCCATGGGTAATGGTGAGGCCGCCGACGMCCCCCTGGAGCTCAGGGGGTCTCTGGACTGCTGGGCCTGCTCCGTGTTGGTCACCGTCCAGAACCTGATCATCGCCCTCATCAACGGCGGGCTGGCGAGCATCGTGTTCGGCGTCATCCTCACCCCGGCTCTCGTCATGATCGTCTTCGGCTTCCTCTGCCACTCCACGGTGAGCTTTTAAATTCCGCGATAATCCGTCGTCCRTCGCTACCGGAGTGGAAAAACACGTGGGCTGTCAATCAAACTCCTGTCTCAGAATGCAGAGCGAAATGTTTTTCTAGAGATTTGAACCTGTTTTCACAKATTTGAATGGATTTTCCTGGAGCTTGTTTTTAATGTTTAGCAGCTGTGGCTGAGCTGCTGTGGTTCCTTTCTGCAATGCATTGTGGGAAAATGGAGTACTTTAAAAGCAAACATGAAAAATCCAGCAGATTTAGCTCAGATACTGACTGTACTGGGTTTCATCGGTACCTGTTCTGGCGCAGACACCTTTCAAACACATAAACCCAAGTGTCAGGGAAGTATGACACAAAGTTACCAAAAAAAATGCATACATTCTAACTTTTGCTCAATCCCTGGAGAAAATCAGTGAATGGTTTCAACAAAAGTACACAGCTCTAATATTACAAAGTATTAGTTTTTGCACAATCCCGAGTGAAAACCCATATATTTTCTGGTGCTTTACCAGTTGCAGCGCAGTAACATACCCCCATCTTCCTCTCCCCCCCTCCAGGTGCAGCCCTATGGCTCGTCGGTGTACTGTTCTGACCTGCTGGACGACACGGGCTGTGTGGCTCTGCTGGTGGTGGGCTTCCTGCTGCTGACCCCTCTACTGGTCCTGGCGCTCGCAGCCTTCTGCCGTCTGGCCCGGCACCTCCAGCTAGGCCTGTGCTTCATCCCTTACAGCCGGGCCGTCTACAAGAACCTACCGGCCTCGCGCCACCGGGGGCCCGGCCCTGGAGGCTGCTGCAAGCAGCAGGAGGCCAAGGAGAGCGAGGAGAAGGGCAGCATCTGGGTGTAGGGGGCTGTAATATGGAGATCAGCTCTTTTTATTTTTTTAAGAATTATTTTCTGTGCAACAGCTTGTGTTAACCTGTATGTCAATTCTTTCAAATGTTATATTGAAAATGATTTTTACCGTTTTATACTCTTTCAATTTTATGGAAAGTTTTTGTAGCTTTTTTCTTGTAATAAAGGGACTTTTTCAAATACAAGTTTCTACAGAAACCAAACAGACTTTGTTCTTTAAAAACTCATTTAATTTTCCATCAGCTGCCTTCTTGCTTTCCAGGTCACTGGTGCCCATATTCAGCGGTCACTGTGAAAGGGGCATGAGACACCCTGGACAGGTCACAAGTCCATCACAGGGACGCATAGAGACAAAAACATTCACACTCGGGACARTTWCGAGTTACCAGTTAACCTAATGTTCATGTTCTTGGTTTGTGAGAGAAAACCCGGAGAAACCCTACATTTGGACAAGAACAAMAAAGSCAAGAGACAAACCTGGGACCTTCTGGCTGTGAGGCCACAGCTCTAATCACTGCTCTACCGTGTCACCCACTGATAAAAGTGTAGTTGTAGTACTCACAAACTGTATCCCRATTTATTCACAAAAATGTCTCAAAGACACATACTGTATGTGTGAGTTTGGCATCCTTTTAATCTTTCAGCTGATTAAATCGTCTTGTTTAAGTTGAATATTCTAAAATCCGAGTCATTAATTGTCAGTTTGTCACCTGGTTCCATGAGAAGCATCCTAAAATTGTCTTTGTGTGAGGATKTTTTTATTTATCTTTTAACAAAATATGTCATGAACCATCAAAACAAGGGTGTCAAACTCGATCTTCACTGAGGGCCACATGAAYATTAAGGTGGCCCTCAAAGGACCAGTTGTAAATAACCAATGACTAAACACTAAAGGTCACATTCGAGCACCACTACCAAACAATAACTGAGCTCTACATGGTATTTCCTGCAAAGAAACAGTGTTTAACACATCCTCTTATGAACACTGAAAATTACTACGTGTATACAACTGACTTAATGTGAAATAAATAATACAGAAATACTATTAAAAGTAAAAGTAAGAGAATTGTACTCACTGTTTAGTGGTGAACACTCTCACTTTCTGACAGGGAATTCCCATTACAGGTGTGTTCCAGTTTAAATTTACATAGTTGCAAAATTCCTACTTCCCAGTACAACTGGGCTGCAGCAAAGTTAACCAGAGAAAATGCATCTAAATTGAGATTTTACACACCAATGTTTTGCTGGTTACAGGTACTTTTGAACCTGTGCATTACCAATATGCATTATGGGTGGTGTATTTTGTGGTCAATGCTGGCTTTAAAGCAGCATACACTTATTTTCAGACATTAACACATCTTTGAAGGTCTAGCCAGCCACATAAAATGCCATGGTGGCACAGACCTTGAGTTTGACATGTGCGTTAAAGAGATTTGCATAAACTCTCATGATCATTAGCTCCACATCTACAACTAATTACATTTTGGAGTCGGTCTCCCATCAACAATCATCTGCAATAAAGACATATATAACTTTATTACATGTAAATTAGTCTAAGTTGATTTAAAACACAAACCCACTCTATCTAATGCTTTCTGGAAACAAAGAAAAGCTGATTGTCTTTTACTGATGTGTAATATGTCCACAAGGTGGCGACACATTCAACCTTTTCAATAAGATATAAAACTTTTATTCATCTTTAGAAATATTACAAATAAAAGGTTTGGCAGGTGTGGGAATAAAATATAATTATTTTAAACTTTGTATAAAACTGTGTGGTATTGTTTTTTTTTATAGGAATCCACATTAAACAGTCTGAACTCCTGGTTTATGCTTGATGGTTTCCTGGGCATTAACACGGCTGGTTKTTGATGTTCATCAGTAATTTGTTGTGTGCCGTTTTGTACGGAGCCGTGAAGGCACCTGGCTCCAAGGTGCCACGCCCATCTTCATCCACCTGACCCATGATGATGTAGTTTTCTCCTGTCGGGGAGGAAACAACCGCTCGAATGAGTCAGGTTTTACTCAGGTTTATAGATTATATGCTTGGACGGGTCCTACCTCGGCGGAGCAGAGGGCACTTCTTGCACTGTGACACCAGCTTCACTGACATGGTCTCCCCAACCTGAGCAATACTCAGGCGACCCGCCTTGTAGGCTTTGATGAGAGAGACGTTGATGTTGAGGGTGCCTCGAGGTCCGGCGGTTAGGGAGGAAATCTTCCCAGTTATTACTAGAAAAAAATTGAAGGAGGTTATGTGATTGACTCAAGGCCTAACATCTCCTAAAAGAGTGTTGAACTTTTCAGGTTTTGTAGCATCACCACTACAAACTTCAAAACATTTGACATGAATTTYATGTAATCAAATAGCATCATGAAGACCAAGGAACACAGCAGCTCAGTCAGGGATAAGGTTATTGGGACATTTAAAGTAGGATAGTTAGGGTTKGGCAATTAACCATGCAAAAAWCTGTCACTGATTAATATTTAGCACTTTCAGATWCTGCAAAAAGTGACTTATATAAGTGATTGTGACATGGCTAATGCCAATGCTCCAACTTTTTGAATAYCCTGAAACATGGCCATAAACAAGGAAAGACAGAAAAWGTGGACCGAGGTAACATTGGCTACAGAAAACCCTCCTCTAGCACCAAAGTAAGAGCTGAGATAAYGTTGGGTGGGGCTGTTAAAATAGAGTTAGTTTGACTGATGATTTGTAAGTATAATTTTGGAACACAGCCAGAGCTATAACGGGTTAGATCAAAACCAATGCTAAAACAGAAAATGTACCAAATTCACTGGAACAGAAACTGGTCTTGATGGTTCCRCTTCTCCTACAGGCTTTGGCACACATGGGTTTTTGGGCAACTAGAAAAAGGAGACGCACAGAAAGAGTTCACTTAGCTTCAACTTGGTACGTCCTGATAAATACTTTCATGTAGTTAACTCACCGGGCCTCTTCCCATTTGGTCTAATGATGCGGCCTCTCGTTGGCTTTGCAGGAGGAGGCGGGACATATTTAGCGGTGGTGGGGACGGGTGGCGGGAGCGTGACAACAGGACGTTTGGGCTCGGCAGGTCTGACAGCAGGTTGTGAAGGGACGGATCTCGTGGCGGCTCCTGAGTCGACCGCTGGGGGCTGAGCTCCACGGGGGACGCTGGTGTAGTAGGCGAGGAACCCGTCAGACGTCACGCTGAGGTCAGACACAAACTGGACCAGCATCTCGTTCCCRCTGGTCACTATGGGTCTGAGCAAAGACACAAATAATATGTCAGCGTGAGATTACGAAYATTCGTGGTTCAGGATTCAAAGCGTCTCACGGTGGCGCCCGGTCGCCGCAGTATTTCCCAATCAGGCGCGAATCGTCTCGCTCTCCGCCGTTGAAGAATGCCACGTAGTCGAAGCGACAGTAGGTGTCAGCCTCGAGGAGAAACTTGTCAAATGTCACCTGGATGGCCTGGTACCCAGAGAGAAGCAGAAAACAACATCTTTAATGGATCATTTGAAGTGAAAGCTGCTGCAGAAGAGAAACTCACCCTGTCCGGCTCCACAGTGACGAGCCAGGAGCAGCTGGTTCCTGGAGGGTATTTCTTTTCCGGCCAGTTGGGCGTCATGATCTCTCCCTGGGATTTTGTCATTTTGCCCCCACAGACCTGTTGGTCTAAAGAATCAAACCTGTCAACCTGAAGGTCCACGGGCCACATCTAGCTCTCATTATCATTTTATCCAGCCCTGACAGGAATTCTTTAAACAAAAAAATAATTAGTGAGGGGTTTTCTTTTCTTAACTGATATGCTGGATTGTTGAAGTTAAAAGCCTGAAGTTAAAACCAATAACGCTACCATCTGTTGTGTCTTTTCCAGCTTCCTGTTCTGAATTTTTAATACATGAAACTTCTTGTTTGTTTTAGGGACCTAATGTTCTGCAGTCGTGTGTCCGTGGTCACCACCTCTCCTGCTATTATCTGCTTCACCTGTCCTTTGGTCCCTGGGTGGTAGATCATTGTGTCTTTAGTGTCCCGTCCAAATTCAGCTTCTATTTCTAACTTTGTTAATCAAAGAAGCAACCAAGAGGTCAAAGACAACACTGGTGGATATCTTCTGCAGAGATGCAAGGAGCTGTTGACAGAACTTGACCTTGTGGAAGAGGAACCAGGACGACTGCTACTCCCCAAACATGTGGAGGAAGGATCTGTGCTAATTTTGGGGATGTTTTTCAGCAGCGGGAACTGGGGAAAAAAGCTGAGCTCAAATCTCTCTGTTCACCAGTCGGTCTATGTTCCTACCCTCACATATGGCCATGAACTTTGGGTAGTGACCAAAAGAACGAAATCATTGATACAAACGTCAAAATGAATTTTCTCCACAGGATAGCTGGACTCTCCTCTTAGAGACAATCAGATATCCAGGAGAGACTCAGAGTAGAGTCGTTGCTCCTCCACATCCAGAGGAGCCAGTTGAGTTGGTTCACCTGGTAAGGATGATTCCTGGATGCCACCCTAGGGAGTTGCTTCAGGTATGTTTGACAGGCAGGAGACCACAAGAAAGACCCAGGACACACTAGAGAGACTATGTTTCTTGTCTGGTCCAGGAATGTTTTGGAGTCTTTTTAAAAGAGATGGAGAAGTGGCTGTGGAAAGAGAGGTCTGGGCCTCCCTACTCAAGCTTCTGCCCCCGCATCCCAACTATGTCTGGCTGGCTGGCTGGCTGGCTGGATGGATGGATGGATGGATGGATGGATGGATGGATGGATGGATGGATGGATGATGGGATGATGGAGGGATGGATGGATGGATGATGGATGGATGGATGGATGGATGGATGGATGGATGGATGGATGGATGGATGGATAGATGATAGATGGATGATGGATGGATAGATGATAGATGGATGATGGATGGATGGATGGATAGATGATAGATGGATGATGGATGGATGGATGGATGGATGGATGGATGGATGGATGGATGGATAGATGATAG